TGTTTGTTTTACATGTCTTTAAATGCACCGCAGAAATTTTAGGCTGTTCGCTACTCATTGTCTTTGAAGTCCCATGTAAAATCAATGTGTAAGCTTACCAGGAGCAAGTGGAATAAAGAGACTGAGGCTATTGCTAGCAAACTTGAGTTCTAGTTACAACTTTTGGCCCCAGATAACTACAGATTTAGGGAAAGTGTTAACCTTGACTTTAGTTTACTTTCCATAAAATAAAAGAGATGCTTCTGGGTTTAATATTCTGGATAAATTTATGTTTTATGTGGGTATAGAAAATAAACTGTCAGGGCTGTGGCTGTGGCTCAGTGGTGGAGCACCTGCCTAGCTCGTGTGGGGCCCGGGATTCAATCCTCAGAACCACATGGAGATGGGTAAATAAGATAGGGGTATTGTGTCCAACTACACCTAGAAGAATAAATAGTTAAAAATAAATAAATAGTCATATCTCTGCTCTTATTTATTTGATGCTAAATGTTCCAATAAGTACATAATCCCAAATTAAGGTATTAGGGAAGTTTTTAATTGCTTTAAAAAGATCTGCTTTATAAATCAGTTTTCAAGAAAACATTGTGGACACTCCTATATTAGTATATTGAGGAGTTTAAAAAATATCCAATAAGAAGTTTCTGGGCTAGAAGGAGACATTTCTGTAAAAGTCTAGGTACATAAGTATTCAGTAAGTACTTATTGATTTGACTATTGGTTAGATATTCTGGCACCTCATGTCTTCCCTTGAAAGTGAATTATAATTTATTACTGACAGGAAAACTAAAAATAATAAGCACGGATTAATCATACTGATAACTTTAGAAAGTACTTTTCATTATTGTAAGCCTATATGATTTCAATATAAGCAAATGTAAACATAATTTAACAATGTTGCCTGTTTTTAATGATAAAAGAAATGTTCTATATAAACTATATATTTTATTTGTAAAGAATATAATATAAAAAGGAAAATATAAAAATAGAAACCCTAATCCCACCATTGTTAACATTTTGGTATACTTGTTCCAGTTACTTCTCTGCATATATTTTAACTTTGTCAGATTATTCTTAAGATTAGAGTGGAACACTTCACAGATAATTTAATGTTCTTCTACACATCATTTGTAATAAATGCTTAGGATTTTCCTATTGTTGGGGCATTTCCAACATTTCATTATTTCCAGATTGCCATTAGAAATGCTATAATGAGTACTTTTTACATAAATCTTTGTCTCCATCAATGATTGTAACTTGAGATATATTCCTAGGAGTGTTATTTTCTCAGTTAAAGAATATAAAAATTAAGACTCTTGAAACCTTTTATCAAATTGCTTTCCAGAATGGCTCCACCTGCTTAGACTTCATGAACAGCACACAAAATTCACTAACCCCACATCCCTGCCAAGATTAAGTTTAATCTTGTGTTCCATATTTACTGACACCAAATAGGAAAACATTCCCTAAAACATTTTGTTTCAGCTTGCATTTTTTTAATCATTAATGAGATTGAACATTGTTTCAAGTTTATTCATTTGTATTTTCTCCACTTACAAATTATATGATCAGTTTTTTACATTGATTTAAAAATAGTTGCACCTAATATAACTGTCCTTACTATTACAAAAGAGAGGGGGAAGTAGTAGAAAATTTTTATTACAAAAAGTACTTTTAATATTTAATTTCCTTGAAATTTTAAGCATTACTAAAGAAAACTGAGAATTTTTTAGGTTATTTAAAACTGGAACACCGGATTTTTAAAAATGGAGAAGCATTGGTGCAGAGCTGGTAAATCATGTTTGCCTTGGAACTTTGGATTCTGGAATTAATTTCCACAAGGTTTGTAGACACAAATGGCCAGATAATTAACTACTCTTACAAACGGGGCTGACTTGCAGAACCATCTGCCACCATGCTCGTGGAAGTGGGCACCATCCGTCTTGGGGCTCTGCCAGGCTTCCTAGGAAAACAAATAGAAGACGGATGTTTCTCTCACCCAAGTTCAACATGCAATTCACTATATCCAGTGTAGCAAGAGAAGTCTTGCTGATGATAAATGAAGATTTGCTCCAAAGCACAAGCACATTTGCAGGCCTTATTGACCAGCCCTCTCTTGGAGGAGTGGTTTCTGGGGAGCTTTAATTAACAAGCACATAAACTGAGGGGACAGCCCGTGTGTACCAATGACAATTGTGACTTTATTAGCCACTACTGTTAAAATGAACCAGCCATGCATGCCCGGAGGGTCTGGGTGACCAAACAAATGATGGGGTGGTCTTGCTGAAATATTATCATTGTAGTGATACCAGAGATTATAAACCACTTGTCAAAGCCACAAGGCCCAGAAGGACAGTATTTGGTTTTCTCCGAGAACTTATATTCAAATTTATTATTTCACTTGCTTAATTTTTTATATCCTTATTTGGTGCTTGTTTAAAAAATATTCTAGATATTTATTTTTGCACATAAAATTAAAATATGGTCTTTATACAGAGTTAAACGGTGCAGAAACTACTATAAAAAAGGACATTCACACCCAACCAAACCGCAGAAGTAAATAACACCTAAAAAACCTCCGTCTTCCTCCTTCTTGGCTAGACTTCTGATGCCCACTCAGTTCTCTTTCATGGTACTGTTCTTGTAGCACATGGTACGTCAACTGTCCACAATACAACTAGAGCTCATAGACAAAACGGGATCATTTGGTGGCTGCATCATTGACACAGATAGCTAGTGTTTTAGTCTGTTCAAGTTGCTGTAATGAACTGTCATCAACTGAGTGGCTTATGAAAACAGAAATTTCCTTCTCAAAATTCTGGAGGTTGAGAAGGCCAAGTTAAGGCACTAGCAGATTCAGTGTTTGGTGAAGACCGGTTTCCTGGCATGGACAACCACATTCTCATCATGTTTCTTACATGAAGGAAGAGACAAGAAATTGTCCTGGAGCCTCTTGGATTTGTTGTTGTCGTTGTTTTGTTCTGTTTTTTTTTGTTGTTGTTTTGTTTGTTTTTTTTTAATTTTTGTGGCACTGGGGATTGAACCCAGGCCCTTGTGCATGCTAGGCAAGTGCTCTATCCCTGAGATGCATCCCCAGCCCTAGAACCTTTTTTATGAGAACACTCATCCCATTCATGACAGCTCCATCTTCACGACCCAGTCACCTTCCAAAGACTCCACCGTCTAATGTCATCCCCTTGGGATTTAGGATGTCAACATATGAATTTGGAAGGACACAAACTTTCATTCTATAGCAGCTAGACAATTAAAATATAAGCACCAGGTTTTCTTAAACACTTGGTGACATTACCATCTTTTCCTTCAAAGCTGGCTGCCAATTTGAGATCCCCTATGTCCCTTTATGCCAAAATTAAGCATCAGTGTTCTGTTAAAAAGCAACTCACAGGCTAGGAAGTCAAGTGCCTATTTTGATTCTTCTATTTTCCCACATTCATCTTGAGTCCCAACTTGAAAGAGTCCCAACTCAGAAAGTGAGTTTCTCTGAAATGTAGCTAAAACGGAGGTAAGTTAAAGCAGAGCCATCCTGGGTGGTGAGGTGGAGGAATGCCAAGAGAGAAAGAAAGAGGAGAAGAGAACTGACCAGCATTCTGGAACAGCCATGCTTTCTGTCTACAGTTAGAATCGGTGCAGCAATGGCAAAATGAGCATGTTCACACACTGTGAATACAAAATTGCCATGAGAAATGGATGCAATACGTATCAAAATTTTAGGTAAGCATGAATCTCACACAGGAAATTCTACTTGGAAATTAATTTTAAGGAAATAATAATAAATCTGTGCAAAACTAAAGTTACTTTTATTAAGTGAAAATTGACTAAATGATGCTACATCCATATAGTGCAATACTTTGCAAGCAGTTAAAATTACTGTGGAAAGAAAATTTAGTGACAAGAAAAAAATGTTGATAAATATCCTGAAGTTGAAATAAGTTATAAATATTAAAAATTGTATGAGTATGATCAAATGCATATTTTAAAGTATCCATATGAATATATAGATATAAATATAGATATAGATGAGGCAAGAGAGAGAAAGAAAGTCTGAAAATACATACTTTGGAGTTCTGTACTAGTTTTTATGCCTTTTACATTTTTCTGCAAGGAATGTATATTATTTTTGTTAATAAGAATAAAAGCAGTCAACATTATTTTTAAAAATACAAGGCTCAAGTTCATCTTATATGCTTGAAAAGAAACCAGGAATCTGACCTTAAAGTTAAAAGGATAAAGAATTCCCCCTACTTCACCTATTGCTATACTTCCTGAAGGAGATCAGGGCCCCAATGCTATTTGAGCTCTCTCCTATATTTCAGGAAGGCACAAAACCAGGGCTTCTAGAATAGATAACCAGGGGGCCATCAGGCGACTCCTCAGACTTTGTGTCCAGTCTTCCCTCTTCTCCCAACCTCTTTCTCCTCTTTTTTCTTTCCCAGACAGCCTGTCTCCTGAGGCTTCTTACATCTCTCCTCCATTCAATCTTACCTCAGTTACTTGCAGGCACACACACATACAAACATACATTTGTGTGGACACACAAACACACACATGCACACTTCATGTGTAGTCTGGAAACTGGTTATTTGGAAACCCTCTGTGGAACAGAGCAAAAGATAACAAGAAGGGTACAAGTGCTTCTACTCCTATCCTTCATTCCTGGGACCAGGCAAATTAGGAGACTTCTCCAGACCCACATTCCCTCCTTTGAAAATGGAGACTGTAGAACTGGGATAGTGAAATTCAAAGGCATCAAAACACAGGACAAGTATCCAGGAGGCATTTTTTGAAAAGACCTTTCAGCAGGGGCTAAGAAAAGTACACAAACTATGTATCTCATTTCCCCAATCTTAATATATGGGGAAATAGTTCCATCAATGAGAATGCTTTGTGCATTATCCAACCAAATGTAAGAACCAAAAGAGAATAAACCTTCAGGTGAAATAATATTAATTAGATTTTAAAACATTTTTATTTTCTTCACATAGTTTTGCTGGTGACTGGAATACATTCCAATAAAGAAATGACTAAGAAGATTAAAAGGCCCAAGTTCAGTAAGTAAAATCATCATTCCTCACTGGTATGAGGCATCTGTCTCACATGTGGAGGGTTGTTACACTTGCATGAGAGAATGTGGAAGGTGATATTTGTTTTGGTTCTGTTTGGCTTTTGCTCTCCATCTCAGGTTGCTTTGCATTCAGACTGAACAATGATGAGTCTTATTCATCATGTACCCCGTTCCAAAGGGCATTTGACATGAGACCTGATTTTGAAGTAACAGGAATGTAGTTTCACTGACCAGAAAATTTTAAAATGCACACCAGGCAACACCATGGTTCTATGGTGAAGCTGGACTAGGTATTTCCCTGCCATCAACCTCTGTTTCAATTCCCCATACCAGAAAATTCAGTCCAGCTAGTGCAAAAAAAGTCCAGTAAATCTGCCCACCCTCAAGCATGCCCTGTGATCAGAAGGTAAATCTCACAGAAAAGCCCAAAGGATTTCACACTCAATCAGTGGAAGGAGGAAAAATAAATTTCACTTTTCGGTGATGTATCAATTAAGATTAGATGGCAGAAAGTCCAAAACAATTGGCACATACATAAGACTGAAATTTCTTTAGTTTCTTTCTGTTTCCTATAAACATAAACTGTGCTTTTATGGAAGCTCCACAATCTCCAGGGACCCTTCTCAACATGGATTCTAGTTCATTACCCAAGATGTCCGTCTCCTCTCCATCCACTTCTCCACTTAGTAAGACATGAGGAAGAGAATAACTCCTTCTAAAGAGATGTCCAGAAAGTTGAATGTATGACACTTATCCTTAAATACCATTGGCCAGCAGTAAGGGAGAGAGGGAAATGCCTTGATTTCAAACATCCACATGTTTCCCTAAAAGTAAGGACTTTTAGTACCAGCAGGGAAAAAAGGAAGAATGGATATTGAGAAATAATGAGCAGGATGGGACACAGATGGAAAATCTCACACTCACATATTGTGAGCACACTGGGATATCTGGATCCAAATTTGTGGGCTCAATGGAGGCTTGAGTTAAGGTGTGTTTATAAAGGGCCATAAAATAAAGGTTTTAGATGTTGTCAAGGTTCTATGCTCTCACAACCGAAACTTTCTTTAGAGACATTAAATTCAAGTGCTTTGAAATCAGCAACATTAGTCATTTGAAAAGAAAGAACCATCTTTGCTTCACACACCACCCTTTTCTTCTTCTTCTCCTTTAAACCCTCTATGTGGGATTTCCTGTTGAAATGAGACCAAAAGGGCAGCCTCCTAGGCTGAAATACTAAAAAGGAATCAGTTGTTTATTTATTCCTGTCAGGACCAAGAGCCAAAAGGAAAGGCCCTGGGGCAGATGTGTGTTCAAAACAATGATTGGGTTAATATGGAGACAAATGCACACCCAAGTATGAATTCCTTTGGGCTCTTTCCAGTATCTTCATTAACTTGAGTAGGAAAATCATGAAAGGTTCCATGATTACCATGACAACAGTTTGCAGTGACTATGAAAGTCTCTGCTAAATGACCCAAGGGCAAACCTCTATGAGAGATCTCAGATGGATTGAATTTCTGATATGTTAAATTCTAGTTTTATTCTTAAAATCTCCCTAGTGATGTAGCACATTTGAATCAATAAATGCCTGAGGTCTTTTCTCTAATTAGAAACTCTGGCACAATCATTAAATAAGGAGGAAAAAAGATCCAATGAAGGCAATAGAATATTCCCAAACCATGGAGATAGCTGATTCTTGACCTCAGGAGTGTTTCCAAATCATAATCTATAGCTTGAGGCCAAAGTGATTTTCATCTTTCCCATTCAATTTGGTCTATAGCTGAGGCAGGTGACTGATGATAAAGAAGGCACAGGATTCCTTCATTCAACAAGTATTTACTAGGTGCCACCGAGTATGCGACATGGAGTTGGACACTCAGATACAACAGTGATTGAGACTCACCCCTTACCCTCACAGAGCTCACAATCTAGGGAGGAAGAAAGACAAGCCAACGGGTAATTATTATTTCATATGTATGTGCTAGGACAACAGGGAGAATATGGAGAAGAAACTGTGCATCTGGGAGCATTTCCTGGAGGAAATGACACATCAACACTGATAAAGCCAAATAGGCAGAGGCATTGCAAACTGAGAAAACACACGGTATCCAAGGTCTGAAAAGTAGAAAAAACTAAAATGCATTTTGGTTTGGTTGGAACACAGAGTAGAAGTTGAAGGTGTTGAGGAAAAGGTGGCGAGTAAGCAGGCACCAGATTGTGAAGGACTATACTACTGTGTTTAGGAATCTGGACTTCATCATGAGTCAGTGGGGAGTATCTCAGTGCAGGTTATTTTGGTTGCAATTAGCAGAAATCCAAGCTCAATTTGCTTAAGTAGAAAAGGGGATTTGGACAGGAAGTAGGGTAGCTTGCAGAACCCAAGGAGGGAAGTGCAGCTGGAACTCCCTGGAACTGGTCCCCAGATGGAGGGTCCACAAGACCTAACATCCCTGCTTCTCTCCGCATATCTGTATCTCCTTCCCACCCCCATTTCCCTACCCCAAAATCCTGGGACACAGAATCTAATTGTATGAGCCTAGACAGGCGGGGATCCACTTCTCTGAGAGCAGTGTGGTTCTCAGAGGAGAGTAAGGTGGTTCATGAAATGAACAATCCTGCCAACAACAACCAAGAAACCTTTGTACCAGTGTATGAGGGTAGAAGACAGGGAATGTAGTTGGCCAGTGAAGAAGCATTAGAGATTTACATGCATATATAGGTGGCATGAAAGTATCTACAAAGTGTAAACACAAATGTTTGTAGTACAGTGGAATGCAGAACAATTACAACTTCTCTTGTCTCCTTAGGAAACAAACTGTGCACCCTAGGCCTGCCTCCTGTGTACCTAGAGACCCCCAAGCTCATTTCAGAGGAAAGTGTTTAGGGATCCAAAGATCCAAAGAGACTTTGCTTTATAAAATCAAAAGGTTTTATTAACCTACAATTTATTCAAGAAGGTACCCTAAGCGGAGAGGGTGGGGACCTGGGGCCTTCCTCCTAGTCACTAAACAAAGAAACGTGACCACATCATTCTGACAGTTGACACGTCAGAATCTGTCTTATAGGTAACCACAAAAGGATTTTTAAACAAAGTGGAATTATAAAAGCAGGACAATAAGCAAATCACTTTGACAGACAAGACTAGTCATTCTTTAAAAAACTGTGGTTCCTGCACCAGAAACATCAGCATCACCTGGGACCCTTTGTCACATCCACTCCTGACCTCTAGAGTCAGATATTATAGGGAGACATTATGGTTATCTTGCTATGCTCAGAATCCTCTATCCCTGGGAGCTAGTGTCTGAGTTTCAAGGTGAAGATTGATAACTCTGAACCTTTGCACAGTTTCCTTGGGTCAGCGTTACCACAGCAACTGGGCAATCTTAACTTGCACCTTTGCACAGGGGGTTCCCAGCACAAGCAGCGCACCACAACCACAAGGCAATCAAACACCTTGATCTATATCATCACTCCCCACAGTCTGAGAGTCTTGAGGATCAGTGCCCAAGACATGATACCAAAGTTGTCAAAGCCAGACTAGAAACTCAGGTCTGGGTGAGGTTCTACCTCTGCTGCTTTCCAGTGGTCCCCTCCCAAGCCAGGTAGATTTAGGAATGAAGATTCTAAGAGTGTTGGATGAGCAACAGCTGACCAAATGAGAAGTAAAGTAGAAGAGAAATGGATAAAATAGGAAAAGGAGAATACCCTGAATACATGGCTTGAGAACATCTGCCGTACCAGTGCATCTATTCTGTCTGTGTATAGGGTCACAATTGCTTCAGATAATTTGTTCTTTCTCTCCTCCCTTCTTTCCCTTCATTTACATTTCTTTTTTCCTTGTATCCCTTTTCCTTCTTTCTACTTCTTTGGTCTGGGCACAGTCCCCAGTGGCCTTCATGAACATTGCTTAGCTCCACCAGGGGCCCTTTGGACCTAGAAGGTAGTACTTGAGAACATGTTGAAAATACTCTGGCAGGGGGGTTTGACAAAGGGAAAAAGCAAAGATGGAAAAAGCAATTGGACAGATTCTCACAGATAACTCCCCAAGCTTATATGTGATCATTCATTCCAAGCCAACACTTAGCTTTCATGTGAATAGTTGTATCTGGTACAATTTGATTCTACCACACTTGGCTTATTACATTACTTCATTTTCTAAATCAAATTAAGTCTGATTCCAAACCACCAAGTGCAAGGGGAAAAGGGTGTAGAATTCAAATTCCATGTTTACAGCAGCTTTCTTTCTCTGTGCTCCAGCCCCTAGAAGCTTTATGCAGTCTAAAAGATTGAGAGAGTTCCAGGAGTGCTATGGTGTCCCAAGTGCATGTTATCCCTGGAAGGTGGGTAGCTCCCCTGTTTTCTGGACCATAGGACTTTGGCAGAGATGGGGAAACTTTGTACCTCAGGCTCCACCCCAAGAGGCATCATTCTGGGTGCTACTCTGAGGCAGTTCCTCCAAGACAGCTCTAGGGAATGAGGACATTTCCTGTCCTGGAACCTGCCCACCCACTCCCACCTTCCTAGTCTTGGAACATTATTTTCTCTTCATCACTCCTGTGGCTGAAAGAACTCAATTTCCCCTCCAACAAGGGAGATTCAGAGAGTCTAATTCTCAAAGCGTAGAGAATGTGATCCTTAGGCAACTCTGCCCTCTGCCCGGCGACCTTGAGCTCCAAAGATAGGAGAATGTGAAAGCCTGGCCACCTTCTCAGTATAGTAAAAGGGGGGAAATAAAATGGAATTAACATGTGAATGACTTAATAAATTAACCTGCTGGATAGTTCAAGATAAAGTTTACCTATTGCACTAATGATAAGTTTATCACTTACTTTTAGAAGTGATTTTTTTCAAGGTTTTCCTGATATAGTTGGGGTCACAAATCTAACCCTACCTAGCAGCACCTTAGAGGCAGGTTTAGTTAGCCAAAACCCACTTGAGCAGTTTCTAACGAATTACCCAAATGTGGTTGCTTTTTTCTTGATTGTT